TCGATTTGTCCCAAATTTTGCCCACATCGCCGCCTGTCTACACCGCTTGACGCAAAAAGGCCAGAGGTTTCAGTGCGGCAACGACCAAGTAGAGGCATTCAGAAACCTCAAAGACATGCTATGTAGAGCCCCCATTTTGGCATACCCTATACCTGGTGGCAAGTTTGCTCTGGACACAGACGCAAGTGCGTGCGGCATCGGTGGCGTCCTTTCCCAGGAAATCGACGGACAGGAAAAAGTCATCGGGTACTACAGCCGGACATTGTCGAAGCCTGAGAGGAATTACTGTGTGACGAGGAGAGAGCTGCTTGCTGTCCTTGAGAGCGTTAAACACTTCCACAAGTACCTATAGGGCCAGCATTTCCTGCTGAGGACCGACCACGCTGCTCTCCAATGGTTGCTGCAGTTTAAGAATCCGGAAGGCCAACTAGCCTGTTGGATCGAGAGGCTCCAGAGTTATGACTTCAGAATCGAGCTCAGAAAAGGCGGAAAACACGGTAATGCTGATGCCCTGTCTCGTCGGCCCTGCAAGGTAGAATGCAGGCATTGCTCAAAGGCTGAGTGTAAAGAGAATATCGTTGATGTCCGACTGTTGAAGTTTGAGTCGGGTGAAGATTGGTCGACGGAACAACGAGGGGATCCCATTCTGGGCAAAATAATTTCGGCCATAGAAACGGGCAAGCGACCTAGTCGCAAAGAAATTACCTCCGAAAGCCCCCTTTTAAAATCCCATTGGGCCCAGTGGGACAGTCTACTTATAGTATTGTTGCTTATATCGCAAATGGGAAAGTGAGGACGGTAAATCTCACCGGAACTTGATCATCGTACCAGACTCCAAAATAAGAGATGTGTTGTCGGAGTTTCACGATGGGCCAAGTGGAGGACATCTAGGCATAGCAAAGACCGCTGAAAAGGTAAAGCAGAGATTCTACTGGGTCGGCTGTCAAAAATCCATTGCCGACTTGATTGCGAACTGTGAAAGGTGCATAAGAGCTAAAGGTCCAACACGGAAGAGTCGAGGCTACATGCAGCAGTATAATTCAGGAGCCCCTTTTGAAAGAATCGCAATGGATGTAGCTGGACCGTTCCCAATAAGTGACTCTGGGAACCGGTATGTCTTAGTGGTCATGGATTACTTCAGCAAATGGCCAGAGGTTTATGCTATACCAAATCAAGAAGCCAGGACAATTGTGGATGGATTTGTCGCTATGGTGTTCCATCTGAGGTTCACTCCGATCAAGGTAGGAATTTTGAATCGGCGATCTTCAAGGAAATGTGTGACTCCTACGGAATCAAGAAAACCAGAACGACGCCCCTACATCCACAATCAGATGGCATGGTGGAAAGATTCAATCGCACCCTGGAAGAACATCTACGGAAAGTGGTGGACAGTGGCCAACGAGACTGGGATGAGCATATTCCAAAATTTTTACTGGCTTATAGATCGGCCATTCATTATTCCACATCCCGGACCCCAGCCAAAGTTCTGTTCGGAAATGAATTAAAGCTACCTGGCGATTTGATATTCGGTGCTACCCCAAACGACGATGTGAACCAAGATGAAGACAGTCAAAACTCTTTTAGTAAAGTCCACGATGCAGTTCGCCATCGAATAAAAATGGTTAGCAACCGTATGAAGGCAAGGTACGATCGAGCGGCAAATACCGATGGGTTTCAAGAAGGGCAACTGGTACTATTGTTCAACCCACAACGAAAGAAAGGACTATGCCCCAAATTGCAAACGCACTGGGAAGGACCCTACAAGATTGTCACGAAAATAAATGATGTGGTTTATCGCATCCAGAGGAGCGACAGTCCCAGGTCGAAGATGAAAGTTGTACATTTGGAGCGGCTGGCCCCCTACGGAACGGGAACTGTGCCTATTCGGGACGAACAGGCTTAAGCGGGGGGCAATGTTACGAATATAACTTTAGATTTAAGTTAATTTAGATGAATTCCGTTAATTTAAGAATTTGAATTGTAACGTAAATTTCTACTACTCAGTTTATTCGAATAACTTCACAACAACAACTACTGTATAGATTTTTCTACATCCTTCCATTTCCTCTTTTATTTTCTATTTTGTTATTGACGTACAATTCTTGTTAAACGTCATCATTGATGATCGCTTAATTCCTCTTTCTTTGTTACTCCCTCGCCTTATTGTTCACTCAATGTAAGTTTGTATGTGTTTGTTGCATTGGTAGATTGTTCGTAATCTAGGTGTTACCAGATCGTCTAGAAACTTCTGTAGCGACAGGCAAGGCTCATATAAATATGGGAAATGTAAAGGCAGTTAGTGAGTTGTGAATCAGATCGCGAATTGAAACAGTCAAGTAACGTAACGTGCAAAGTAAAGTTGTGTCAATAAAATCATTGTAATAATCGTAATCAGAAAGAACCCGCGTTGTATTTAGTACGAACTGTACAGGGAAATAAAACAACGTCTACACGGGATTAAGTAAAATCCAAGAACGTAACAATATGAATATGACAAATTATGTTTTTAAAAATCACCCAACAGGAAAATTGGGAACACATACAATTCGAAAATCTTCTTTATTAAATGTTCTCCTGTATTCAATTTACTCAATCTGCCTGCTGGGAAAGTTTGAGGAAGCAAAACTATCTTCATGGAATAACTCGCAATTCCCAGCATATTTAAATGTGTTACACATATCAGTGGCAATGGCTCAATTAGACGAATGATGTGGAAGCGATAGAAATATAAATTTGAAAGATTTTCATTCGTGTTTTTCAAATTTTAATTTGAGGATTTGAAATTATATCATTTTCAAAATAAATACAAATTGTTTGTTTACATTTTTCTGTCGAATGACGTTGACACTAGTATAACTTACAATAACAAATTTCCATGTGGTTTTTGTATCGTTTGTTGTACAACAACACTTGCTGCTACCTTCTATTATTAGGTGTGTCTGGTTACTTTTCCAGTAACATTTATTCAGTAAGTTCTGGTTCAGAGAGTAAGCCGTTTTTAGTCTCTTTTGATATTTTACTGAGAAAAGTAAACAGACAACATTTAGTAAGATTTAGCAAATAAACAGTTGTTTCAAGAAAACATTTGATTTGCGCCAAAAAAAACAACAAACAAAGGACGAACACAATTATTTGTATTGCATTTAATATTAAAAATATAATGAATAATAAAAGAAAAATTGATTTGGTATGTTCCCCGGGAATATTTAAGCTTCCTGCATCAATACATTGCCCTCTATCTGGAACTTGCATAAAAATATATAAGGAATTAGTTTCTAATTTAATGAAACTTTGCATTACTTACGAATTTTCTTCCATTTTATGTAATTTTTATACAACTTAACTTCAAATTGAACTTTGCAAATTAAAAAAATGTTTTGAATAATCTTTGTGTTTGGTCATAAAACAGCTGATCAAAAAATACTGAGTTTGCAAAATCTTACTGAATAAAATTCTTTCAGTTAACTCCAGTAAGTTTGTTGTTGTTCATCTGTCAAACTTGCTCTCTTACTTGACTCTCTTTTACTGAATTTTTGTGTAAACAGACAACATTTAGAAACATTTGGTAACAATTGTTACAAAATATCGAGTAAACGGACATAGCTATTATACTATGGAACGAACCTAATATGTCGTCATGGAAACCAGCTGAATATCAGCTGCCTCTCAAGTTTGCTATCAAAATCAATTATTGTGAATTGACTTCCATTACGAAAACGTAAACAAAGTCCATATTTTTTACATTAGAATTTTAATTCTAATTTACTGGGTAAAATTTCCCAGCAAGGATTTGCAAATTCTCAGTAACACAACTGACAAGTTTTCTCTCTCAATTATATTTCTTTTACTCTATTTGCATAAACGAGCAACATCCAGTAACAATTTGTACAGATTATTCTCAGTAACACAACTGTCAAATGCGCTAATTTAATTCACTCTTTTTTTAATCGACTCGAACTACATCCAGCAATAATTTGTACAAATTATTGTGTAAAAGAAAATCATGCCTAGAATTTTAAAAATTAAACACGAACAACTTTATTTATTACATTTCAATAAAATTTATTTTATTTATTAAATTCTTGTAATATAATTATTAAATCATATTTCTAGATTTTATATTATGTCTTAGTTTTGAAAATATGCATTTTATTCCATAGACAAAATAATTTTCCATAAATTCCTTACATTGTGATATGCATAAACAATTCGCACCATTAGTTTATGCTATCAGTTCTGCAAAAAATAAACGGTGAAATATAAATTGTAAATTTTTGCAAAATGCATATTTCCTTACACATTTAAGTCATTGTGTTGCACAATTACATTTTCGTTTTATGTTTTTTTGGACAGGGTATTTGTGATTCCTTTTAAAAATTTATCACAGTTTAAAATTAAAAAAAAAAAAACAAGAAGAGAAAAATAAAAATATGATATCTAAAAATTAAAAACAAAATAATTTTTTTTTCTTCTTTAAAAATGAATTAACAGTATTAATTAGTTTGGATTTTGTAAATTGTGTAATGATATTCTAACAACATAGAGCCTTTAAGAACTGTTTTCGTTTAAGAGAAGCTATGGAAAACATTTTCTTCGCTCGCATTTATTGTTTCCAAAACTTCCTTCAACGCAACAGTTATTTTTGAAGATTTGTTGTTGTTTTTCTTTGGGGGGGATTATTTTGTCTTCTTGCTGGAGTGGTTGGCTTCATGTTGTATTGTTTGTATTTGGAAAATACATTACACAATTTTTACAAAAAATGGTAGGTGTTTTCTTTTAACTTAAACTCTTAATCAAAATAATAATAATAAATATGTAAAGTAAATTTAAAGTAGAAAAATTCTAAAGCTACATTTAAATTAGTTTTTTATTAGTTATTTACGTTTTTTTTTTCTTCAAATTTGCTTGTATTAGTAGTTTCGTTTGTGTTCTTTTCTTTTTACATTTCTTTGTTTTTAAAACATTTTTCTATTTTTTTGTTGTGATATGTCCGGGTTTTTTCTTTATTGTTTTTTAGTTTTAATTTTCATTTTATGTTCTGTGCTCACAGATTTACTTCTTTGCAATGGTGGCCTCTTATTGCCTGGCAATTCGGCCCAGATGCGGAAGAAGTATTCGTCATGTCGCAACAATTTCTGGCGAGCATACGAGTGGATATCTGCAACCATATGATGCATACGCAACCATGATGATGTATTGCAGGAACTCATTTCGGTACGTTCCTCTTCTGGTAATGCTGGATGACCTACAGTGGGGAATGGAGGGGTAGAATGAGAAAAAAATTACATTAATTATATAAATTATAAAAAATAAATAAAATATCTGTTAAATATAAATAATTAATATTTTCATAAAAATAAAAACATTTTTTAATGCTTTCAAAATTATAAATATTTGTTCCAAAAAATGACAAAAACATGTCTACTTTTCAACGATTTATAGGAGGTATAGTACGTTTACATTGTACCGGATTTCGTAACCCAGTGGGTTTAAATTGTATTCCATCGATTTTAAAAATCGAGCTACTATACCCTAGATGTTTAGACTTGGTCTGTTCCCGTACTGCAAGAATCTACTACTTTTTACTGCGATAACGAATTTTCCTTTATGATATCGAAGAAAATAGTAAAATTTAGTAGATTCTTGCAGTACGGGAACGGGCCCACTATTACATGGCACAATAAATAGGTAGTACATGGCCTATAAAGAAGTTCACCCAGGGAGGCAAGCTGGTTATCTGCGCCACACAAGTTTGCTGTCAAAATGCATTATTGTGAATTGACTTCCATTATGAAAACGTTAACAAATTCGAAATTTTTGACATTAGACTGGAGAAAAAACAGCCGATTTCGATTGCTACCTGGGTGACCTTATTAATAGATCATGCTATAAATAAGGTCACCCAGGTAGATCAGCTAAAAATCGATACCTCGAGAAAAAAGTTGATTTCCTTGATGACCTGAATAGGCACAATGAATAGGTAGTCCATTTAGCGCAGCTGATGTCTTGATTAACTGCCAAAGTGGGTAATTTCTACTTGAATTCAATGTGCAGTGTTGCCAACCATTTGAAATATTACAAAGGTTTTTGGAAACATTTTGCATCATGAGCGCAGCTGATGTCTCGATTAACTGTCAAACGTAAACTTGAACAAAGGTTTTTGAAACATTTGAGAGAAAACAAGTTTTTGTTATGAGAGGAGAGAGAGAGAGAGAGAGTGAGAAACTCTCAACACCAATCGCGATCCTGATAAATATAAAACCCCGCTATATTAAGTCAGCATGGTCCAATTATCCAATTAAAAGGTCGTGTAAGAGGCGAAATAATTTCACCCGAACTGTCAAAATTTGACTTAATCGTATTAACACGTAAACAAACAATTTGACAGTCTGAAACAAGGTAGATATATAAGATAGCCGCGTCGGCGAATTTCTACAACAAACATCAGTTTTTGTATTTTGATATGTCAAAAATATTTTGCAAAAACAGATTCATAAGATTTTTTACACAAAATCTTGCAGAAAATGTTAATAAAAATATTGCCGAACAAGCTCTTCAGAATTCGGAGATTTTCATTTATATTTTTTTTAATTTTGTGGTTCTACATTACAACAAGATATTTGCACCAACAGCAGGGGCAGGGGTCTGAAGGATTTTCTACTACAACCTGTTAATTGGACCATGAAAGTTGTTTTGGGGCGCAATTGTAGCTTCTGCTTTGGGGGATTTAATTAGCATTATGGACAATATATGTATGTCCTGATTCAGATTAGGCGAGTTTACTTGCCGCAATTTTTATCGTTCTCTTTTGAAATTGCTTCATGCGTCTATACAAGGCAATTCGTTTTCAAAACTATTGTTTTTTTTGCATTTTTTTTATGTTCGAAAATGTTTTGGATTGGTATTTTAAATTACTGACACTACAAATAAAATACACAAAAGGAATTGCCAGAAATTGTCGGTACGAGCAATTTTTTCCATTTCTATTCCCCTTGCCCCTCTCTCCAGCAAACAAAAACTTGCCGCAAGAAAACTCGCCTAATCTAAATTGGGACTATGTTAAGGAGCAAACTAGAGCAACTATAAAAAATCTATCGGAACCAATGGATCTTCCAACAAGACAATGATCCAAAGCATAAAGCATATATTTGGAATATTTCAGAGAAAAATATAACATCCTAATTCGAGTTCCCTATCCAAAAATAAATCCCCCGTAGCCTTTACGTAGGCCTTTAGGTTTGTATATAAAATTGTTCGTCGCTATAGTTTTAACTTATTTTAATTTCAGCTTAACATACCCGATGTTTCAACATGATATGGCTCTTCAGATTCCAACGGTTCACTAAGACCAATTTCATTCTTGGCAAATATGCGTATCTTGTAGTTGTGCTTCTCTTGCATGTCCTTGATTTGGAATCTCAAAACACCAGCTGGTACACGACCCACTTCAATCCACATACTCTTCTTCATATCGCGTATGGCAATGTGATAGCCCAATAATGGCGCACCACCATCTGATTCGGGCATACCCCATTCAAAGACATGGGTATTGGCACCAATGACTCTGGCCTCAAGTGGAGCTGTGGGTGGTGATGGTACGGCTATTCGGACAAAGAATAAATAAAAACCCATTTTAATATAAATGACCAAGACCGAAATATATTTCTAATACTTACTTGCATGTGTTTTCAATGCCACACTTTCGGTCACCGCTGGTGCACCCACACCAGCAACATTTTCAGCCGATACTCTAAACCAATATTCGGATTTTTCTTTCAGGTTTTCAACGGTATATTGGAAGCAATTTGCATCCAAACTAATGACCTGTGCCCAGGTTGTTGATGTGGCGGAACGTTTTTCAACAATATAACCTTTAAATAAATCGAGATTTTGGTATGAAATATCATTGTGGGGATATTTATGTGAACACAATATGACTTACCAGTAATTTCAGAACCACCATTGTGTGCCGGTGATTCCCAATCCAGTGTTACACTTCTATTTGTTATATCCGGGCATCTGAGATTACGAGGAGGTGAAGGAGGAGCTGTGAATAATTAACGATAATAATATTAGTACATAAACATCCTGAGGAGGAGTTCTTGAGAATGTTACTAATTTCAGCATACATACCAATATTTTCGTCTGCAGAAGCGTATTATGGATAAAAGCAAATTTTGTTAGCGGCAAAGCAATAGCGTAATTTTTAATAGAATAAATAATGAAATATTAATAAGCAATGGACTTAACTCAAATTCGGTATATAGTCCTGATTTACATTAGGCAATTTTGATAGAGTGGAATGGAATCATTCACCTCTCTCGTCAGCAAACAGGGTATTGCAACAAGTAAATAGCCTAATATAAATCGGTACCAATCGGTAACAATTTTTCTACTAATTCCGATTTTAAGCATTTTTTTAACTCAGATAAATCTTATATAATTAATCTTATATAATTAAGCAAACATAATAACAAACAATTTAACTTCTATTAGGTACGTACTTATTTTACGTGTGACAACAATCTTTTCATCTGTCTCTAGAGCATCACTCATGCCAACCTCATTCTTGGCATATATTCTGAACGTGTAGGCCTTGTTCTTGACAACATTTGTTATGCGAATGTTTGGTGTATTGCCGTTTGTACTGCCAAAAAGTCTATATTCTTTCTCTTGGAATTCCTTGATTTCAACAATGTATTCAGTAATCTTGGAACCACCATCACTTTCAGGCACTTCCCATGACAGTGTGAAGGAGGTATCATTCATGCCCGAAACATCTATGGGTTTTCTGGGTGGTGATGGTTTTTCTATAAAAAACAAAAAATAGGCAAATAATAAGGCTTACACTTCTAATTCAGATGCCATTGCTTTTCACATACCTTTCTTGGTTAATATAACAGTCTCACTTTCGGTGGGCTCAGATTCACCAATTGGGTTTACGGCTACTATTCTGAACCTGTATTCAATGTCTGTGGAAAGTTTTTGTACTGTATGCGAAGTTGTGTCCCTTTCGAATTCGGACACCTTCATCCACACATTCTTTTGTAGTTCACATTTCTCCAAAATGTATTTGGTAATTTCCATGCCACCATCATCGGTTGGCGGAGTCCATTCCAATTTGACTGAGTCTTTCTTTGTCTCCCGAATGACAAGCGATTGTGGTCGACTTGGCCTATCAATAACTTGCACAACACATTCAGCACTGCTGGAGCCACTCTCATTTTCGGCCACAATCTTATAACGTCCAGAGTCCTCACGTGTCAACTGCTCCACGCTGAGAGTAGTTGTCGTTTCGGTAGTTTCGATTGTCTGGCGTTTGGATTTCTTAATTGTTGTGGTCTCCTTGTACCAGGTAATCTTGGGTTGAGGATAACCACGAATTGTGGCTGGAATGGTTAAGTTTGTGTTGGTGCGCAGTTTTTGTGCCAAATATTTCTCTTCGATTTCAACGGAAGGTTTCTCTCTGATTGTCAGGCGGCAAGATGTTTCCACGCTGCCGACTTCATTGGTAGCCACACAAGTGTATTCGGCTTCCGATTCTTGAGTTGTCTTTTTGATAATGTACTTGGCGACACGATTTTCATACACCATTGTGGTGGTCTCTTCGATCACCTTGCCATTCTTCTTCCATACCACCTTAGGTTCGGGAACACCACCGAAGACACAAGAAAGTGTAACTTCTTTGTTGAGTTCCGAGGTTGTGTCTTGCAGGGGTTCCTGAACTGTGGGCTTTTCCTTTTTAACCTGGGCCACCAACCGTATGGGCGGTGATAATGGCGACGGTGGTGATGGACCAACTTCATTGACGGCAATTGTGCGGAATACATATTCTGTGTCCACTATCAATTTGCTCAATGTGAACGTGGTATCCTTAATCTTACGAACCTCAGTCCATCTGCAAGCGAAAAATATATTACTAGACTATTCTTGGGATTTGCTTTTCTGGCGATAAACTTACTTTTCAGTCTTAACATCTTTGTATTCCAAAATATATTCTTGGATTTCGGCATTACCGTCGTCTTCAGGTGCCTTCCAGTATAGCGTAATGGAATCATGCATCACTTCCAGTGGTTGTGGAGAACCAGGAGCCTTAGGTTTGCCTGTTAGCAAAAAGGAACGAACCAAAAAATTACACTTTGCTTCCGATTAAATATTGTTGTGTTCAAGACTTACGCATAATAACCAAGTGGAGACTGGCTTCAGCTTCGCCAACGGGATTCGTCAATCTGAGAGTGTAGTTGTCTTCATCTTCCTCGACTACCTTCTTAATGGTCAGCGAGGCTGATTGTTCATCAATGGTGGGTATTAGTCGCTTGGATTTAACAATGACCTTCTTCGATGTACTCCATTCAGCATCTGGCTGTGGAACACCGGTATATTTGACGGTGAAGGTTACGTCTTCATTCTCCTTAACCTTAATTGTCTGATCCTTGTCCGAAGTGATAATGGGCGCAGTCTTGACTTCTTCCACGCACAATTTAGTGCTGGAAGTGACATTGGCAGCTTGACAGCTTACCTCTCCCGCATCCTCATCATCGGCATTGTGGATGACGTAACGTCTGACAGTGCCCTCCACAAAGACTTCATTCTTCTTATTCGGCTTGACGGGTTTGCCCTTCTTAAACCAGGTCAGTTCAACATCGGGTTTGGACAATTCAACCTTGAATTCAGCATCGGTGTTCTTGGTGGCCAAGGTGACATCGGGCAGGCGCAATACAAAGTCAACCAACGGTTCTTCGACGGTCAGTTTGGCCTTTGATGTCTGCTCGCCCACTTGTACTGAATATTCACCCATATCACTGGGTTTGGCCTTCTTAATGGTAATTGTCTGGCGTTTACCATCCGTAGAGCTTTGGACGCGGTCGTTAAGTGGCAATTCTTTGCCATCCTTGAACCATCTAACCAATGCGTCTTCCTTGTCCAATTCCACAGTGAAGGTGGCTGTCTCGTCTTCGGTTACCGTGACATCTTCCAATGGTTTAACGATTTCTGGTGGCAATTCAATGACCTTAAGCTCACACTTGCAGATTTGATCTTCGAATTTGCATGAATATTCTCCAGCATCGTGCTTGGTGGCATCGCGCACTATTAAGCGATGGACCTTGCCGTCCTTAATGGCGTCGATGTTCTTCTTCTCAGGTGTGATCTTCTCACCATCCTTGAACCATTGCACTTCGGGAAGGTCAATTGAGATTTCAACTTCCAAAATGGCGGTGTCCTTCTCGGTGATCTCGGTATCCTCCAGAGGCTTAATGAACTCGGGTTTGCGTTTCAAGACCTCGACCGTCGATTCGGTTTCCAATTTCTTGACTTTGCACACATATTTGCCGCTGTCCTTGAGATTAGTGTTCTTTATGACCAGTTTGTGGACCTTGCCTTCTTCGACAACGACACGATGATCCATGCCACTCAATTCCTTGCCGTTGAAGAACCATTTAGTAGCGACCACATGTGACGTTTCACATTCCAGGGTGAGCGATTGGATTTCTTCGATGGTGATCTTGGATTTGAGTTTCTTGGTGAACGTAACCTTGTCTACTTCGACAATAACGCGTGCGCCGTGTGATGTCTTGCCCAATGGGTTGCTGGCAATACATTTGTAGTCGCCAGAATCCACCTCGGGATTGGCATTTTTAATGGTCAACTCAATGTTTTCGCCATCATAACGCTGTTGGATGCGCTCATCGGGTTGCAAGGGACTATTGTTGAAGAGCCATGCGACTTCGGGTACTGGATTACCAGACACCTTGGCCACAAGGCGTATGGTACTCTTGGGTTTGACGATTTGTTCCTCGAAACGTTCAACAAAGAATGGCGGTTCGCCATTATCGCTGGGAGGTTCTGCAACGAAAAAAGGCGGTTTACTACGTGTTTAAAACGAAAGGGGATGGACTAGAACAGTCAACAAATGGTTCTAAACAAAAACAAATAAACACACAGTGGTGTGGAATACAGTACCTTCAATTGTCAGATTAGCTGTGGTCTCTACACTACCCAAGGGATTTTCAGCCTTAACCGTGTACTCGCCGGCTTCTTCACGTTTGGGCGATATCAGCGTCAATGTGTGGACGCCATTTTCAGATTTAACATCACCCTTCTTCACAGGTTTGCCATTACGGTACCAGGTTACTTTGGGAGCAGGGTTGCCCACAATTTGTGTGCTCAAGACAACGCTTTCACCCTCGCGAATAACCATATTGTGCAAGGGTTCCAAAATGTGTGGTGCTTCCTTGTCCTTGGTACGCACCTTCAGCTTGATTGGCAGCCTGGCTTCACCCTCACGATTAGTGGCAATCACCTCATAGGTACCTTCTTGAGATTTCTTAACCTTCTTGATGTGTACCACGGTGCAATACATATGCATATCGGATTCCTTTACAACGGTAACATTCTTCATGACCTTCGAATCGATTTCCTCGTCATTGTAGGTCCATACGATATCCGGTTCGGGTACAGCCACAAGACGGCATTCCAAAACAACGTCCGAGTCCTCGTCCACATATTGGGCCTTGGGTTTACGTGAGAATGTTGGTGGTATACCTTCGAGTATGTCGGCCAAAGATGATTCACGTGAAATACTCTTCCGTTCTGAGGCATTTTCGGAGACAACGGTTTCAACGGTCACCTCAGTTGTGGTTGAGGTAAAACCAGCAACGTTTTTCGCTACACAAGTATATTTGCCAGCATCTTCGGCAAACACTTGGCTTATAATCAAGGTAGCTACATTGTCATCGTCGTAGAACATTTGGAAGTCTTGTGAGGGTTTAATAACAGCAGTTTCGCGGAACCATGTGATCTGTGGACGGGGTACACCCTCAACCTTGCATTCCAATTGAATGGTATAGCCCTCAGGTGTGTGTATGGGTTGCAATTGTTGAATGAACTTCGGTGCAATGGGTTTCTCTTCAGGTCCAGGTCCTTTTTTGCAACACAGAGCAGAACGCACGCAGGTGGGAAAATAATAAAGAAACATAGGGGAGGGCGGTTAACATCACACAAGACAATCACGACATATGCACAAGTGGGATAACAAGCTTCTGCGATACTTACTTTCAAATACTGGTAGCTTATCGATTTTCTCGTGCAACTTCTTTTGAACGTATTGAACATATTCGTCGGGTTCCATGAGATATTGAGCTGGTACCCAGCCTTCTTCTTCGGTTGTGCTCTTCTTAACGAACCACCATTCGGAACTGTGGCGACCAATGACATAGACCTTTTCGCCCTCAACCAAGTTGATGGCTTCATCGGTATCGGCGATATAGGTGCAAATAGAGAACATGACATTCTCTTCGCCAGATTCTATAGCGACAGTTGAGAGAAAAAAATGCATTAATAATTGTGTGTGGACGGATCTATGGACCATAAATAAAATGTTTATATTTTTCAAAAACAAAATTTTCATTTGTTAATAGACCGTGAATCAATTATATTTAACGTACCATCGACATCCATGACACGGGTGATATTCAAGGAAGCTCCCTCTGTTGAAAAGAAAACAAGTCATTAATTTCCAATTTATTTGCGAATTAAATTCAATTAAAAACATAGGACGATGTTAATGAAGTTTGCTCTATATGGAATATGAAATGTTACACAGGTGAGGGCACCAGTTACACAGGAAGGGTGTTATACAGTTTTACCTGGCCTTTTTCTTTTTTGTTTTTATTTCAATACTCTGTTATCATATAAGCAACATGAGAAGAGCCTAAATATTTCGGAGATAGTCTCGGAAGAAAGCTTTGAAATGATTTCAGATGTAACGAATTGCAATTGAAAAATCGTATACTAACCTTCGTTGAAGACTTGAGCAACAAGTTTCTTCTTCTTTTTCAGCGTAAAGGTGTCTTCTTCATAGGTAACCGAATCACTCTTGGGGCGGGCGAATCCGATTAAGACCTGTTCTTCTTCTTCGTTCTGTATCGAGTATCTGGGTTTGGACGAAACCTTCTTCTTGGGTTTGAGTTTGATATCGACCTCATCCAGTGGCAATTCTTCAACTTGATAGGCGTCGGCTTCTTCGTCGAAGATGTCTTCCTCAATATCTGTGTCGTCGTGCACCTCTTCAATAATCACGGCATGACCATCGTCGTAGTCCTTCATAATCTTAATGCTGGCCTCGTCCGCTTCCTCGCCGTAGGTCATCTTTACCGGTTTCTTAAGTTTGATCTTGCTGCCCATGGAAATTTCTTCCTCGGCATAGGAATCCAAAGCAATATTAAATTCTTGATCAACTTCCTCGGTTTCGGCCTTCTTCGGTTTCTTGGGACGCAGGGTGACAGTCTCGACTCCAGTGAATTCGGGAATTTCCTCCTTCTTCTTAGGTTTCTTCTTAATTGTGAATTCTTGTTCTTCTTCGGTAACTTGTTGGGGCTGGGGCTTAGATTTCGGTTTTGGTTTTAGCACAACTTCGTCGATTTCCTCTACTTCCTCCTGTACCTCTTCCACTTCGGGTTGCTGTACAATATGAAGTTCTGCGGCTGCTTCGTCGTGAGTTAATGGTTTCTTGGGCCTCTTCTTAATAACGGTTGCCTCTTCGGTAACGCCAGCATCGATATGTTTCGGTTTCTTCAAGGCCAAACTAACTTCCTCCTCTGAATGCTCCTCGTACTTGGGTTCGACGGGCTTGGCTGGTTTCCTACGTTTCACCACAGCCTCTTCAATGATTTCTTCTTCTTCGATTTCGACTGGCCGCTCAACAATAGCTTCCTGTGTAATGACCAACTCATCGGAAGCTTCCTCGACTGGCTTCACAGGTCTCTTCTTCTTCTTAAGTTGGACAGTCTCCTCAGAGGTCTCTTCTTGTGTAATTGGTTTCTCCTTTGGTAGTTTCACTTCAATAGCAAAGTCTTCCTCTTCGACCTTGGGTGTCTTCTTGGGTTTCAAGGTGACCTGTGTAACCTCTTCCTCTACATCTTCGGTCTTGCTCTTAGGTTTTTTGAGTACAACTTCTTCTTCCTCAACCTCCTCCACTTGTACAGGCTTCTTCGGCTTCTTTTTAACCACCGCAACCTCTTCGATTTCTTCAACAACCTCTGGTTCAGGTGCAACTTCTTCAATTACCTGAACCTTAAGTTCAGCAGCAGCTTCCTCCTTAGGTTTGGTCTTGGGTTTCTTTTTAATGACTGCGGTTTCTTCTTGTATTTGTTCTTCTTTTGGTTGAGGTTTAAGGGTAACATCCGCTTCAGGTTCCTCAGTAACTTCTGCCTTGGGAGCCTTTGGCTTTTTGGGCAGTGTAACTTCTTCTTCAATCACTTCTTCCTTGGGAGCCTTTTCTGGTTCAATTTCAACCACACCGAATTTGTATTCCTTGTGCTTCACTTCCTCGATTTCTTCTGTAATTTCAACTGATTTGGGAGTTTCCACCACCGGTTGAGGCTTCTCTTCGATTTCTTCAACTTCTTCAATAATTTGAACTTCCTCGGTTTGTGGCACATCCTCCTCTACCCTTATAGTCTGTTCAACTGCAACTTCCTCAGTTTTCTTTGGTTTCTTGGTTTTCTTTTTAATGCTGATCTCTTCGGAAACTTCTTCGGTGGGTTTTTTAGTTACCAACGTCACCTGCTCTTCTGGTTCTTCCTTGATGCTTGGCTTCTTTTTCGGCAATTGGAATACTTCTTCTGGAGTTTCTTCTACCTTTTCGGGTTCGGTTTCCTTTACAGAGAACTCATAAGTAACTGGGGTCTCTTCAACGACTTCTTCAGTCTTGGGTAGCTCCTTAATTTCTTCTTCTTCCACAATTTCAACAATCTCTGGCTGCTCTTCTGGAAGTTCTTCGACAACTGTGACCTTAAGTTCGGCCTGAGCTTCTTCTACGACGGGCTTTTTGGGTTTCTTTTTGATGACCTTAGTTTCTTCGACATCTTCGACAGGTTTTGGTTGTGGGGCAAGGATCACTTCTTCTTCGGGTTCCTCAGTAACCTTTGGTTTCTTGCGGCGAATGACTTTAACCTCTTGTTGCTCTTCTTCCTCGGTAACGAATTGTGGAGACTCTTCAATAATTCGAACCTTGTGCTCTGGGGCCTCCTCAACGACTTCTTCAGTCTTGGGTAGTTCCTTAATTTCTTCTTCTTCTACAATTTCAACAACCTCAGGCTTCTCTTCCGGCATTTCCTCGACCACAGTGACCTTAAGTTCAGCTTGAGCTTCTTCGACGACTGGTTTTTTAGGTTTCTTTTTGATAACCTTGGTTTCTTCGACGTCTTCGGCGGGTTTCTGTGGTGCCAGCACCACTTGCTCCTCGGGTTCTTCTGTGACCTTTGGTTTCTTTCTGCGTATTACTTTAACCTCTTGTTGTTCCTCCTCTTCGGTGACAAATTGTGGGAATTCTTCGACAACCTTAACCTTATGCTCTGGGTAGTGCTCTTCAGGTTTCTCTTCGCTGGGAGCTTCTTCCTCAGGTTTTTCTTCAACAACTTCAGAGGGTTTTTCTACTACTTCCTCTACGACTTTAACGACATGCTCCTTAGGTACTTCCTCCTTGGGTTTCTTTACCTTCTTCTTAACTGTCTTAGTTTCCTCATGAACTGTCTCCTCGGCGGGCTCTGTGGTAGTAACCTTAACATCTTCAACGGGGGCTTCTTCTTTAGGTACAGATTTCTCACGAGGTTTGGGTACTTCTGGTATTTCCTCCACCTTTTCTTCTCTGGGCACTTGAGATTCCTTTACCTTGAATTTGTATTCTTTAGGTTTCTCCTCGGGTTTCTCTTCTACAATAGTTGTGACTTCGGCAACTTCTTCAACTACTTCTTGTTGCTCTACCGGAGCCTCCTCCGTCACTGTTACTTTGAGCTCAGCTGCTACCTCTTCCTTGGGCTTCTTCTTTATCTTCTTTGTTTTGATTCGAGCTTCCTCAGTAACTTCTTCAACGGGTTTGCTTTCTGTGAGAACAAATTCGGCTTCGGGTTCTTCAGTGGGTTTCTCCACCACTTTTTTGGGTTTCATGACTACCTCTACTACTGGTGCTTCCTCTTCTTGTGGAGCATTCTCTTCTTCGGATACCTTTATCTTGTACTCGTGTGGCTTTTCCTCGGCTGGCTTTTCTTCGATTACCTCGATTGGTGCGGGCTGTTCCTCCACAACTTCTTCTTCGATAGGCTTTTCATCCAGTTCTGTGATCTTGACTTCCAGCTGAGTCGACTCCTCTTCAACCTTCTTTGGTTTTTTGGGTTTTTTAGTCTTTAGTTTGGTTTCAACTTCGACCTGCTCAACTGGTTTAGGTTCTGTCAGGGAAACGGTTGCTTCAAACTCTTCTTGGACCTCAACCGGTTTCTTGGGCTTTATAGCGAATTGCACTTCTTCTGGCTGATCTTCTTCGACAATTACAGGTTTCTCTGCCTCTGTTTCAATTGTCTTGATTTCATAACTGGGGAATACTTCTGCTTCCTTCTTTGGTTTCGGTTTGGGTTTAGGTTTCTCTTCAACCACCTCCTCTATCACTTCGGGAACTTCTTCCACAGGCTCTGTTTCCTTTACAGTTATGTCGTAGACCTTGGGTTTTGGTTTTTCGATAGTTTCTTCGACTGGCTCCTCAATGATTAATTCTTGTTCAGCTGGTTTTTCCTCAGGTTCTTCGTGTTTAATTTCAACCTTGGCCTCTTCTTCGGGAACAACCTTCTTCTTCGGTTTCTTCTTCTTAATCACTTGTTCTTCGACAATTTCTTCATCTTTAGGTTGTTCTACCGTTTCGATAACGGTCACTTCTTCTGTTATGGGTTGAGGTTCCGGTTTCTTAACTTCATAAGTCACTTCTGCAGTGGGCTCCTCTTCTTCGACTGGAACGGGTTGAGGTTCTTCAACAGTGTATTCATATTCCTCGGGTACAGTTGGCTTAACCTTCTTCCTACGAATAACTGTCTTCTCCTCCACTAATTCCTCGAGGGTTACTTGCTTTTCATCGGTATCAATAACGCGTACCTTATACGCTTCGGGTACCTCTTCAGGCTCAATTACGGTAGTGGTGATCTTGTACTCAACGGGAATTTCTTCGGGTACCTTTGGCTGTTTCACCTCTTCCTCTACGACCTTAACTTCCTCTTGGGGTTTTTCTTTAGGTACTTTCTTTTTAATTTTGACCTTGTCAACCTTTTCTTCGGTTGGTTTTTCTTCTTGAACAATTTCTTCTTTGATAGCAACCTCGAATTCCGGTTCCGGCTTCTCTTCGACGATTTCTTCTTGTTTTGGCTTTTCCTTTTTGGTCTTGGGTTTTTTGGGCTTTTCTTCCTTTACCTCTACTACGGGGGATGGTGATTTTTCTTTAGGCTTTTCTTCGGAAACCGTTTTTACTGGCAATTCGGCTGGAGCCTCTGGCACATCTTCTTTTTTGAACGGCTTTAATTTGACCTCAGCTGTAGGCTGTTCTTCATGTGTACTCTCTGGTATGCGGAATTTAACCGTATCTTCTGGCTGCTCTTCCGGTTCTGTTGGCTTGCCAGGTACAATTTCCGTAACATTCATTTCCTGTTCTGGTTTCGTCTTCGGCTTCGACTTGGGCTTAGTCTTGGGAACCTTCTTGTCCTTTTTGGGAGTTTCTGGGAATTCCAGGGGTTCCAGCTCTTCTTTAGGCTGCTCAATGTCTTCAAACTCGAGAGGCTCAAGAGGTTTCATTTCGTACTTGGGCTCTTCGGGTTTGGGTTCTTCTTCTTTGACTACCACTTTGTGTTTCTTTACGGTCTTTTCTTCCAAGACTTCTTCTTCGGGTTTGGATTTTTGTGGTATTTTCTTGAGGCTAACCGATTCAGGTTGTTCCTCCTCCAGTGGCTTCTTTTTGCCCTTGCCTAGTTTAAGTTTAACTTCTTCGGGTTGTTCTTCCGTCTTGGCAGGTTTTTCAGGTTTCTTGTAGGGTTCCTTGGCCTCAGGCTCTTCTTCGCTGCTTACATACTTTTCGTATTTCTCCAATTCCACCTTTTCCAGGTCATCCTTAATCTTCTTTATCTTCTTAACTTTGCGTGGCTTGAATTTCAGCAGTTCTTCGGCTTCTTCAATGTTGCGCGATAGCTCACCGACCTCCTTGACGGCGCCAATTTCGGTTATTACTGGTTTCAGGAGCTCTGGTGGATATTGGACCATAACCATGCGACTCTTTAACTTGAATGCTGGAAGTTGTACGGCCTGTTCCTCGACGGGACGTTCCTTGCGTTTCGATGGCTTCAATTTAATCATTTGTGGTACTTCAGCAGCATCAACTATGACCACCTTCTTAGGCTTTTGGTCGCGACGTATGATTTTGATGGGTTCCAACGCTTCAGCTTCCGGCTTGATCTTCTTGGGTTTTTCGAATTCGATCTTTTCGAATTTCTCCAGTTCGGTCTTTTCGATTTCTTGTTCCAAGAGTTTTTGAATTATGGCATCGTGATCTTCAGTCTTCTTGCGTATGACCTTCTTTTTGGTCTTTTTCGGCTTGGTAGTATCATCGGGCGTTTCATCCTCCTTGGTTTCCTCAATTTCCTCTTCAATGACTTCGATGGGATGTGATTCGTCCTTGTCTTCGGGATACTCCTCGATGGTACGGATTTGGTGTATCACATGTTCGACTTGCTCCTCCTTCTCCTCGGGCAATTCCTCAATAACATTGATGGCATAGTCCTCGTGGACTATGGGTGCTTCACCTAAATTTACAAATAATCACAGAATTAGCAGAGGATATTCGCAATAGCCAACAGAGGCTTACGGGCGGCATGTTTGACGAAAATAAAATGGGCAAGATTTGATCAACATATTTACACTGAGAGTAAATGTGAACAGTAAGGGAGACAGAGAGATACAGTAAGAGAAATATAGGAATAGGAGAGATAAAATAGAGACTAAGGCATTTTCGCATTTTTGCCAAAAGTACATTAGGTCCGTCCTTAGCTTTTAATTTGTCATTCATTCGATCTACGCGGTATTACCGAAATTATCAATTATTTTCCGATCAACTTAATATGCCAATATATTAGGGTTAGTATTTTTTGTTTTTGTTTAATTTTGAAATAAAGTTAACCATTTGTTTGTTTTCTCGAGCTCTAGAAGTGGTAATGACTTCTTATGGTACAATTTCGAAACATTTGACTATTCGGCTCGGGAAAAAGTGTCGTGTCATTAAATTAAAGAAAAACAAGTTTTTTTATGTCGGTCGTAACGATTTTGAAGGCTTTCAGCAGATTAGTAGCGTGGACTATAATAGCTATTGCAAAAGTTAAGCCAAGCTTCAGCTCTTGGTGGGTAAAGCATGGTGTGTAATTTATGTGTTTCTTGAGATTGTGCCCCAACTCATAAAAGGGCGCTAGGGAGGGAATAAGCAAAACACCTTAGACAATTGGGTAAAGACATGTGATAACAAAATGCTAGAAGATACGCAGTTGCGGCAGGATTCGCATATTTCAACAATCAGAAATGTAGACAAAAGGGGGAGAGATAGAGGCAGAGAGTGAGAGAGACAGCGGATAAAGAGAATTTCTTTTTTGGTTTCTTGGACAATATCCAAGAACTGAGAATACAGTTTCTCTTGTATGTGCTTCTTTATCTTCAAGGAAATTTGGGGAAGTAGTTTTGGAGAGGATAGAAGATAACACAAGTTGGCAGCTAGCAGCTGTTGCATAGAAGGCATCCTTCCACAACACTTACTTGTTTGCTTTTTGGGCTTGGTTTTGTGTTTTGTGGTGGTCTTAGTATCGGGTGCAATATCTTCTGTGACAGTGGTGGTGACCTTGTGAGATTCGGGTGTTTCTGACTGTTCCAGATCGTCGATCTGTTTTGATTGTTCGTCGGTGGTGGGTTGTGGTTCAGTGTGTTGTGTTTCTGTGATACTAAATTCGTGTAAAGTGTCTTCTTCGGGTTTCTCGTCGGACATATCATCAACCTTAGTTGGTTTCTGTGGTTTCTTTTTATCTTTCTTGGGGTTTTCTTTAAGGTCCTCCCTAGGCGTCTCGTCTGTCGGTTTTGTCTTTTCTGGCATGTCTACCTTCTCATACTGTTCTAGAGTCGTCTTGGGTATTTCTTCGTCAATGAGTTTCTGTATGTAGTCGTCCACTTCGTCCTTCTTTACCTTCTTAACGATTTTCTTGGGTTTCTTGGTCGGCTTGGGTTCTTCAGAAGGAAGTACCGGTTCAGTCTCGTCAACAACTGGCTCGTCAATTGGTACTTCGTCAATGATAAGGGTTACCTCATTACTGTCCTCTTCGTGTACGGTGACAACATGTATGGTCGAATCTTTTTCGTCATCGACCTTTTTGGTGAGTGTACGTTTCTTGGTGGTCTTCTGTTTGGGCTTGCCCTGCTCGTCGGGCACCTCTTCGACATGCACTTCGGCCGGTTCGCTCTCGACAATTTCAACTACGGGCAAGGGTTGCTGTTCTTCAACCTCTTCCTCGACTATTTTAACTTCAGCCAAAGGATGCTCGTCTGGTTCTTGACGTTCTTTGGGCTTCTTAGCCTTTGGTTTCTTTTTGGGTTTTTCTTCTTCGGCAGGTTGCTCCTCCTTCATTGCGATTGGATACTCGTCCTCAGTGGCATTCTTAGGTGTGGGCTCAAACTCAATCTTAGCATACTTTTCCAGTTCCGTCTTGGGTATATCCTGCTCAATAAGTTTCTGTATGTAATCGTAGAGATCATCCTTTTTAACCTTCTTGGTTTTCTTTTTAGGTGTCTTTGGTTTGTCATCTGTCGACTCCTCTTGTGGTTCGGATTCCAAAATGGTAACCTCGACCTCAGGCTGATCGTCTGTCTTGATCTCTACAATTTCTATTATGTCCTCTTTGGGACCTTGTTGTCGTTTGATCTTTCGTTTAGTTACAGTTTGTTTTTCCACAATGCCCTCCTCGTTGACCTTTTCAACTTCTTCGGTATGACTTTCCACAACCTCAATCTTGAAAGGTTCAGGTTCTTCAGGAACCGGAGATGTTTCCTTGACAGCCACTTCAAATGTTGGACCTTCGTCAAGTTTCTCCGCCTCAACCTTGGGTTTCTTTTCCTTGGGCTTCTTCTGTGTGGCCTTTGGTTTTTGGTCTTCCTCAAGAACTTCTTGAATTTCATATTCTTGGGTTTCAGGTTGCGGTGCTGATTCATCCACAACAACCTTGTGTTCTTCCTCGGGTTTTTTTTCAGGTTGGTGTAGCTTTTCTTCTTCAACCGGTTTAACCTTCGGTTTCTTCTTCTTTTCCTTTTTAACCTCAGTTTCTTGTATGGTGATATCTTGTGGTTTTTCAGCTTCTTCTGTTTCATCTTCCGTTACTTGAACGGTGACCTCAAAGATATCCTTCGGGGTCTCCTTTTTCTCAGGTTGTTGTTCGATCTCCGGTACTTCATCCATAGTGGGTGTGACGTCTTCTTTGGGTGTTTCTTCGGTCTTCTTCACCTTATGTGTCGGCTTCTTCTTGAGTTTTATGGGTTTCTCAATGTCAATCTTTTCATAGGTTTCCAATTCTGTCTTCGGTATATCTTCCTCAATGAGTTGCTGTATGTAGTCTTGCAACTCATCTTTCGGAACCTTTTTGGATTTTTTGGGCTTCTTAGGTTTATCGTCCCGGGTTTGTTCTTCAACGGTTTCTGGTTCTACAGCTGTAACTGTTATTTCGGCCACGGGCTCTTCTTCGCCCACTTGTTTTTCTACAATTTCAATGATCTCTTCCTTGGGACCAACCTGTTTCTTAATCTTGCGTTTAGTTATCTTTTGAGTCTTCACCTCACCAGAGTCGTCGACAACTTCAACTTCTTCCTTCTGTGTTTCTAATTCAACAACACGTACTGGGTATTCTTCGATCTTCTCTTCAGGTTGAGTTTCCTCAATGGAGATGTCATGGGTGTCGTTCACCGTCTCTTGTGGCTTGTCTTCTAATTTGGCTAATTTCGGTTTTTCGCGTACCAGTTGTTTTGGTTTCTTTTTCAATTTGACCGGGGCATCGACATCGATTTTCTCATATTTCTCCAGTTCTGTCTTAGGTATATCCTGCTCAATGAGTTTCCTAATGTATTCGTCCAAATCGTCCTTCTTTACCTTTTTGGTTTTCTTGGGTTTGGTAGGCTTTTCTTCGATGGGTTTGGCCGCTTCAGGTACTTGTTCGGCTTCTGATGTTATAACCGTTACCTCAGCCACTGGCTGCTCATCGCCCTTTTGAGTTTCGACAATTTCAATGATCTCCTGTTTGTCGCCCACTTGTTTCTTGATCTTTCGCTTCGTAACCTTTTCCTTTTCAACCTCACCCTTTTCGTTGATAACTTCATGCTCCTCTTCCTTGCGTTCGACCTCAACGATGGAAATTGGCACCTCTTCACTTGGATGTTGTTCGGGAATTTCTTCAACAATGGAAGTTTCTTCAATTTGCTCTTCTGGTTGAGGGGCTTCCTCGAATGAAGACGTTTTAACCGTGAATGATTTGTGTTCATCAGATTGTTGCGGTTTTTTGGACTTCGGCTTCTTGGTTTTCTTAGGTTCCCCTTTGTCTTCAATAGGCTGTTCGATTTGTCCCTCTTCAATGGATATTTCATAAGATTCTACAATTTGAGGTTGGTCCTCCTCGTTGGGTTCGGATTCTTGAGGTTGTTCTGAGTGTTTGTCTTCTTGAACTTCTGGTTGTGGTTCTTTTTTAGCCGGTAATTTAGATTTTTTGGGTTTCTTGGCTTTTTCGACTGGCTGTTCTTCAATTGTTTCCTCTACAACTTCGGGAACAGTTTCTTCATCAACCTCTTCCTTTTGGACATATTCTTCAATGACATTCACAATGTAGTCTTCCAATGTCTCCTTCGGTACTTTCTTAACCTTTTTAACTACCTTCTTCTCCTTCGGTTGTTCGGGGCTGTCTTCGGAAATCTGTTCAGTTTCAGTGATTTCAACAATTGTGACTTCACTTGTTGGCTGATCTTCTTCCTTGACTTCCGAAACTTCAAAGATTTTTTCTTCTGGACCACTCTTTGTTTTCAGTTTACGTTTGGTGATTGTCTTAGGTTTAACCTCACCCTTGTCGTTGGTTTCTTCGATGGTTTCAACCGTTTGTTCCAATTCTTCAACTACCACAGGTTGCTCCTCTTTCACGACAACTTTTTGTTTCTTAACCTTCTTGGGTTTGGTTTGTTTTTCTTCTCTAACTTCAATGGTATCTTCCGAAACTGTCTGTTCTTCAGGATACACCTGCTCTTCTTTAAGGGAGACCTCGTAATCTTCCGGTTTTGGTTCTTGTGGCTTCTCAAGCTCTTCTTCTATAACGTCTATTGGTTTCTCTTCGTGGTCTTCTTCTTGTGGTGTGATTTCTTGGATGTCAAAATCGTGCACAATCACCGGAACACCTTCAACAATTTGAGTAGTCTTTTTGTGGTGCTTCTTCACGGTCTTTGGTTTCTTTTTGGGTGTGCTTTCGAAATCCATGGACTCGAATTCTTCCAATTCAGTCTTGGAAATTTCCTGGTCAATGAGTTGTTGAATATAGGCGTCGTGATCATCGTGGGGTGTCTTCTTCTTGATTTTCTTGACCTTAACTGGTTGTGGTTTTTCATCTTCCGGGATATCTTCAGGAACTACCTCGGTGGTGGTTATTTCCACCTCAGTTTCAGGTTTATTTTCCACATAAGATTCCACAATTTCGATCAGATATTCCTTGTCGCCTTCCTTCTTTTTAAGTTTTCGTTTGGTAACAAC